GAGAACCGGATGCCCATTGCCACAAGTTCTGGACATGTGACGGCTGAAATTGAGCAGGAACAAAATAGTGAGACTCATCTCTGGATCTGCGAGAGCTGAAATCGAGCCAAAAAGACAGATTCTGGCGAAAGGAATCATACAAGTGAAATCGAGCCAGAACATCACAGCGAGTCTCATGTGTGGACCGAATCGAGCCAGAGCACCACAGCAAGTCCCATTTTGGGATATGGGAGGGCTGGGGCCGCCCCAGATTACCATAGTGAGCCTCACTTCTGGACCAAAGTGAGCCCGAACACCAGAGTGCTTCTAGTGTCTGGATCTGCGAAGGCTGAAATCGATTCTGAACGGTTGCCCCACCACACCCCAGCGAAGATCCTACCGAAAGAGCTCCTTTCATTACAATCAACCCATAACGCAGGGGTGAGTCACATCCCTGGACCACATCGAACAACACTCATACTGCCTCCCCATCTCTGGAGCTGGAAGGGCTGAAATCGGGCAAGAACACGATTGTCGGGCGTGTCCCCCTACAGGGGGATGTTCGACGAAAAATAAAAAATACCCCAAAAATACCCCCAAAAGGTCAGAAAGTACTTTAAAAGAAGTCCCCAGACGATGTTTGGATTATTTGTTGATTATTTTTGGGGTATTTCTTGTTTTCGTCGAAAATCCCCCTGTAGGGGGACAGGCCCGACTTAATCCTGGCCCAGACCAGCCCACAACACACAAGCGAGTCCGCCTTCTGGATCTGCGAAGGCCGAGATCGAGCCAGAGCACAACAGTGAGCCGATTTCGGCGGTGGATAGACCTCCCTTTAGTAAACCTCCCCTTAGTGAAAACGGCCTGGGACCATAACCGACGGACCTGGACCCACAAAAATGACGGCCGCGTCGCCCTCTCGCGAACCGAAAACGGCCAATTCCTTAATCGACGTGTCAGGGTAGGAGGTCTATCCACCTCCGACGATTCCGGACCGCCGCGGAAACCGGTGGGGCGCCTCCCCCCAGCCACCCTTCTGTGGAGATTCGGACGGCAAAGAAATTCGAACCAGAACGCAACAGGGAGTCCAACCTGCGGAGCCAGTCAAGCCAGAACACCATACCCATACGACCACCCTTCGGGTGACAAGGAGGTTGTGGGCGGGGAGAGGGGGGGAACCAACATCTGACTCAATCGATGTCACTCAATGGGACAGCACGGGACACCATGAGCCACCACGGGACACCACGGGACACCGCAGGACACCTCGATCTCAGTATCGGTCTCACTATCGATCTCACTCAACGGGACACCACGGGACACCACAGGACACCTCGGGACACCACTCGATCTCAATATCGATCTCAATATCGATCTCACTATCGATCTCACTCAACGGGACACCACGGGCCACCACGGGACACCTCGGGACACCTCGGGGCACCACATCGATCTCAGTATCGATCTCACTATCGATCTCACTCAACGTGACCCCACGGGACACCACGAGACACCATGGGACTCCACATCGATCTCAAAATCGATCTCACAATCGATCTCACTATCAATCTCACTCAACGGGACACCACGGGAGACCTGTCGATCTCACTATCGATCTCACTACCGATCTCACTTTTGGGGACACCACGGGACACCAAGGGACACCTCGGGGCACCACATCGATCTCGGTATCGATCTCAGTATCTATCTCACTATCGATCTCACTATCGATCTCACTCAATGGGACACCACGGGACACCACGGGACACCGCGGGACACCGCGAGCCACCGACGGACGGACGGACGGACGGGCGGGCGAGGGAAAATCAGTTGTCGTGACTTCGCCCTAGCAACGGCGGACACCACGGGACACCACGGGCCACCACCGGACACCGCGGGACACCGCGAGCCACCGCCCGACAGACGGGAGGGGGAGAATCAATTGTCTCGATTTCGCCCTAGCAACGGCAGACACCACGGGACACCACGGGACACCACGGGACACCGCGGAACACCGCGGGCCACCGCCGGACGGGCGGAAGGGGGAGAATCATTTCTCTAGACTTCACCCTAGCAACGGCGGGTTCGTTCCTTTCGCGCGCCCACGCAGCTTCGCCTCGCCCGCACGCACGACACGAACGAAACGAAACGATTTCCCTGTCGGGCATCTCCGTTCCACTGCGATCTCACCCCCCAACCTCCGAAAGTAAGAGCTCGACCATAAGAAACCTTCATCAAGGAAGCCAACCCTGAGGCCCCAGGACGGCCTGTGATTTTGGGTGTGGGAACGTCACGCTTTCCACAGCAAACCCATCGAAACCCAATAAACCCAGGGCACCCTGGAGGCAAGCAGGGTGTTTCTTGGCATGGGCCTCCACTGTAATCAGCCTAATTTCTGGACCAGATCAAACCAAAGCACCGCATCGCGAGTCGAGCCAGAGCACTATGCAGACGCTGCTGGGCCGCTCGGCAGGGCCGCCGCCAAACCTGGGAGACGCCTCCCCCATGGCCCCCCTGTGGAGATTCTTGAAGGGGAACTGGGACACACAGATAAATAAACACAAATAATTAACAGGATTCACCACATGTTCCTATATTTTCGGGGTTTCTGTCTTCCCCCCCACTTCCCATGTTTTCCTATATTTTCTGGGGAATCGACGATGAATTGTGTCTGTGTGTTTCTTTCCCTCCTGAATTCTGGCGAGAGATAGCTTTGATCACAACTGAAAACTGAACCCCCGCAGCGACACGCTATTAAGGAACAGCGAAACGTTTCCCTCTCGACATGAACGTCGTGTCGTCGGCGCTGCAAAATGCGCGGCGGGAGCGCGTCGCGGCGCACACCGCGCGCGAGAGGTCGACATCTCGCTCGCGCCTCGACGCCGCGCATACTTGGCTCTCAAAGACGACTTCATGTTCGGCCGACGACGCTGTAACTCAAACACCGCAGCGCATCGCAGCCAAGCGCGGTTAATGAATCCTCTGGCCCGTATGTGTCAGATCACAGCAAGGAAAGTGCTCTCGGACGACGCTGCGTCAGGAAAACTGGATGGCCCACTAGCGCGGCTGCCAGCCGTCAGGCGGCACAAATGACAACGTGGCATAGAAGAAAAAGCCGGAGGGGGAGGAGGACAGAAGTGAGGCGGAGGGGGACTGACAATGGCGCTGCGTGTGCATCCGCACATGGCCCAAACGACCATCAAGAAAATGAGGCGTCGCGCATAACGACAAAAACTGTCCTGCTTGATTCGCGATAACGCCCGGGACCGGCCCCGCCACCCCTCTTCCCCCCACGCCTGGCCACGTCACGATTCGCGCCCGCGCCGTCGTGGAATTGGGCAACGGCGCCAGCGCGAGGCGCGAATCGGGACGTGACCGGTTCCCTGACCCCCTTCACCCCCGGGACATGCCAGAACTCTCGCAAAGCATAAGACAGCGGCCTCCAAGAGGAGAGAGCAAAATCGATACGGGTAAATAGGAAATAAGCCCGCCTGGATGCCCACCGCACGGGAGGCGGAAGCAGCAGAGCAGGAAAGGAGAGCAAACGTTGGGCGCACGCACACGCAAAGGTGGGACAAATCTGACTGGAGGGCTCGACGGTGCCCAGCAGGTCATCAACCCTGCAAAACGCGCGGCGGGGACGTGACGCGGCACACACCGCACGCGAGAGGTCGACATCTCGCTTTCGCCTCCACGCCGCGCACGCTTGGCTCAAAGTTGAGCTCGCCCTTGGGCGAGACGCATCTGTTCTGGGGGCTCGCAAACTCGTTGGCGGCGGGATCACGCACGAGCGCGGAAAATGACGCCCACGACCATGTGGCAGCCGCGCAGCTCAGACCTCGCTTGAAGGTGGCGCTCCCGCTGAGGCGCAATCGCTCCTACCGGCCGCCGGAAGCGGCAGCGGGACCGCGCGCGAGCGGGAAAACTGTCGCCAGGCTCGCGAGCGGGACGCATGTACACACCCATGGCCTCGCGGTCCGGACTCCGACTCCTCGGCCGTGCCTAGGGGAACAAAAAGTGGCATAAACATAAAAACTCGGAGGTCCGCGCGGATTTCTCGGATCGGCGCTGGACCCCCCTCCCTGGCGCGCGGAACGCGCCAGGGGCGCGTTCCGCGCCAGGGGCGCCTCTTCTGGAGCGCCTCGCAGAGTCGGGCGCCGCCAGAAGAGGCGGCCCCGCCCGGCCGCGGCGCACGCCCTGCCCTCGGCCGCCCTGCCGGGAAAGTCGGCCGCCTGCGCGAGCGAGGCCTGGATGGAGCTCTCGCCGCGGCGCCGCCTCGAGCCTCCTCCTCCCTCCGCCGGCAGTCCTCCCTCCGCCGTCGTCAAGGCGTTCAGGGGCCTCGCCAATCCTCCTCACTCCCTGCTTCCGTCCGTCCAGTACCCCGCCTTCCCTCCCTCCAGCCCACCATCTCCCTTTTCCCTCCCCCCTCTTCTCCCTCCCCTGCTCCCACCCTCCTTCCCTCCCTCCCTACAGGCCTCCCAAATGGGACCCGAGCGAATGAGGTCGAAGGATCGCGCTGCATCGCCGATGCGTCGGCGGTGCGGAACGATCCTCCGACCCCAGCTGTTCGGGCCTATCCCCACCACCTAGGCGGGTGGACTGGTGGGGCTGAGCTACCCTGACCCAGCACGGCTAGGGATCGGCTCGACGATGCTGATCCCTCCCCCCCGCCTCCTTCCCTATGCCTCCTTCCCTCCTGCTCCCCCCCACTGAGCCCCCTCGGCAGTGGCAGCCGGGCGGCCGCGAGAGGGCGGCGGCGCCCCAGGGTGTCTAGAGGCCTCCTAGATGGGGTCGGAGTAGATAGGGTCGGAGGATCGCGCCGCATCGCCGATATATCGGCGATGTATCGGCGATGCATCGGCGATGCATTGGCGATGCACTGGCGATGCATCGTCGACGTGGGCGATTATAGGCGACGCCGGCGCGGAGAAAATCGGGCTCCGCATCGAGCCGCATCGGCGATGCATCGGCGATGCGGCGCGATCCTCCGACCCCATCTACTCCGACCCCATCTGGGAGGCCTCGAGTGTCCTGGAGCAGCCGCGAGGCGAGGTACTCCGTGGCCCGCTCCGCGGACGAAGCGTACGCCATCGCGGCCGGGCGCCCAGGGGGCCGGGACGCCGGGGCGCCTCCCGGCCTTGAGGGAGAAGAAGAGGAGGAGGAGAGGAGGAGGGAGAAGAAGAGGAGGGGGGAGGAGGGAGAAGGAAAGAGGGTCTCGTCTCGGGGAGGACCCAGATCCGGGGGAGGAGGGATGAGGAGAAGAGGATGAGGAGTAAGAAGAGGAGGAGGAGGGGGAGGAGGAGGAGGAGGAGGAGGAGGAGGAGAGGAGGAGGAGGGGGAGGGGGAGGGGAGGGGGAGGGGAGAGGGGAGAGAGGAGGAGGAGAGGAGGAGGAGGAGGAGAGGAGGAGGAGGGGAGGAGGAGTTGGCGTGGGCGGGGGGGAGGGGGAGGAGAGAGAAGGGGGTGCGGGGGCGACGCTGCCTGCGCGAGCTCGTCGTACACGTCTCCGCTTGCGCCTCTTCCACTGGCACGAGCCACATTGTGATGCACCCCGCCGAGCGATCGGCCGAGAGAGGCGGAGACGGGGCATCCTTCGTTTTCAACCCTGCCTCCAGCTGAGGCGAAGCCAAGACTGGGGCACATCGAACCAGGACAAATCCAGCGGCTCGGGATGTACTGATGTCGGGCGCCGCGGCCGTTGCAAAGCGTTCCGCAGCGCTCCGAGAGCACGAGCGCCCCAGTCCGTGCTCTAGAACGCTCTGGAGCGATTTACACAGGTCCTCCTCCCCTTCCGCCTCCTCCTCCTTCCCCCCCCCTCCTCCTCCTCCTCCTCCTCCTCCTCCTCCTCCTCCTCCTCCCCCTCCTCCTCCTCCTCCGCCTCCTCCTCCTCCTCCTCCTCCTCCTCTCCTCCTCCTCCTCCTCCTCCTCCTCCTCCTCCTCGTCCTCTCTCTCCTCCTCCTCCTCCTCCTCCTCCTCCTCCTCGTCCCTCCTCCTTCCTCCTCCTCCTCCTCCTCCTCTCCTCCTCCTCCTCCTCCTCCCCTCCCCCTCCCCCTCCCCCTCCCCCTCCCCTCCTCCCCTCCTCCTCCTCCTCCTCCTCCTCCTCTCCTCCTCCTCCTCCTCCTCCTCCTCCTCCTCCTCCTCCTCCTCCTCCTCCTCCTCCTCCTCCTCCTCCTCCTCCTCCTCCTCCTCCAGGCGCCGGTGGGGTTCCTACGCGCGCGGGGGCGCGCGGGGGGGGCTGCCATACGGCCCCAGACGCCAGCCGCCCGAGGCGTGCGGGCGTTGGTGCACTCTGGTTTTGCTGGGTGGGAGCCGCTGCCGCCCCTGGGCGGCGGCCATCAGGACGGGCCCGCGTCAGCGGCGCCACACGTCCCCTGCCTGGCACAGGCGCGCGCGGCGAGAGCGCTCGCGGGCCAGGAGCCTCCTCCGCCTTGAGGCGGCGAGGAGGACGCTCGCGGGCCATCACGGCGAAGCAGGGGAGCTCGAGGACATGGGTGGCAGCAGCACTGGGGAGCCGCCGACCCCACCCCCCTGGCATGAGGGCACATGGCCGTGTGTGGCGACGAGGGCCTGCGGGTTCGCCAACAACTTTGCCAGCAGGCAGACCTGCTGGGCATGCGGGCGCAACCGCAAGGGCAGGCCCACGGCGGACAAGGGCGCCCGTGGCAGCCGCCCGCGGTCCAACAGTGCTCGTGCGGGTTCTCGGACTCCGCAGCCCAAGGGAACGCCATGGCGGTCGACAAGCCAGGTGGCACCGTGGTGGCCAAGTGCAAGAGGGCTCTGGCAAGCCTCCGACGCATCTACGAGGACCAGAACCACATCGTGGTCATGGCACGCGAGGAGCTGGCCAAGGCTGAGCAGCAGGAGCGTGCCCGGATGGCCCCAGAGGACATCCTCCGCTCAGCCCTCGCCAGGCAGAGCAACTGCAAGCAGGAGATCGAGCGCTTGGAGGCCGAGGTGCAGGACCACAAGCGACAGCTCGACGAAGCGACGGACCAGCTGGCCAAGGCCCAGCAGCAGATCGTCGGCATCAACGCGGAGGTTGCCCAGGCCAGGCTCGCGCTGGGACCGCCCCCTGCGCCAGGCATGGCAGAGGCAGCCACGGCGGTCGCCTCCCTTCAGCAGATCCTCCAGGGCGCTCGAGACTCCATCACCGCGGGCCAGGATCGCAACGTGGTGGGCGGCGCCATACTGGACTCTCTGGCGGACCACATCAACAGGCTGGGCGCTGCTGCACCTGCCCAGGGCGCCGCTTTTCGCGCCGCAGGCGGGCAGCCTGCAGGCGCCAACGCCCCACCGACAGCAGCACCAGCACCCGCTGGAGTCGCGCCCGCCGCCACGGCCCCTGCAGCCGCCGCGGGCGCGGGCGCCAACAGCAGCACCCAGTACTCGCCCCCCGCAGCAGAGGCGGTGGCATGGGAGAACGGATAATCATCGAGGTCGACGTGGAGCCAAGCGCAGCACCACAGGCGCGGTCACCTTCAATGGGTCGTGCTGGACTACGTGCCAGCAGTTGTTGCTTGAAGGTGCGGGGGACGCTGTCGCGGTTACCTGCCAGGAGCTACGCCTTGACGGGGAACGGCTAGACCACGCGCGAACCTGGGCACAGCGGCATGGATGGCAGCCGTTCATCAGCCCGTGTCGCAGGCTCGCATCTTCGTTGCCGAGTGCAGGAGTTGGGATCTTTGTCAAGTCGCATGTGGAGACTACTCTACTGAGTCCCACAGAGGGGGGCGTCATTGACGGTTTTGAGATCCTCCGCTCTTGGGTAGTGGCAGTACATGTACACGTTGGACCGACTGGTGGTATCATCGCGGGCTGCGCATGCTTGGAGTCGGTCGGGGCCAGCGACTACCTCACCGCGAACTACAAGAAGCTCATGCGCATCGCCGAGGCCTTGCGCTACTTCTCGGCCCCGTACATCTCTGCGGCCGGCTGGAACGCCGAGCCGCGCCTTCTCGAGGACCTCGGCTTCATGCAGGCGCTGCCCGCCATCGCGGTGGCGCCCCCCACTGGCACGTGCAGGGCTGCCACCACTGGCAACCTCAGCACCATAGACTACTGGCTCACCTCGCCTGACTTCGCGAAGGTGTGCATGGCGCCTCGGGTCATGGATGAATGGACGCCCCGACCGCACTGCCCAGGACGTCTTGATCTTGCGGCTCGGCCTCGGGTCCATCTACAGCTTCACCTTCGTGCTCCGAAGGCTTTCCCACGGCAGCCGCCGCGCTTCGCTGGCGCCAGCCCGCTGCCAGGCCCACCGCCACAGAAGCCGCACATCGAGGCCGTTCAAGGAGATGCACGCCGTGGACTACCAGAAGGCGCTCAAGCAGCTCAACAGCGCTTGGGCGCACTGCACTCCACCTTCACCTCCTTCGTGGAGCAGGGCCTCTGCCACATCTACCAGCTGCAGGACGCCGAGCGCTACTGTGGCAGGGCCGCGCGACCCACGTATGTTTGGCGGCCAGTTGGCGGACCACCACTTCGACAAGGTCGGCCCGCGGCTGGAGCGGAGGCCCGCTACATGAGAAACTTGGCGTTGGCGCTGCATGACCTCGTTAGATCCATCACGCAACAGTCCGATCCAGCGGCTCGCTGGCAGAGGTTGACGCGTGCCCGTCGGCCCGCCAGCAGGACATCCACTCGCAGGAGGGCGCTTTCTTGTTTGAGGCGGCCTGGCGTCTCATCCACTACGCGGTCATGCAAGATTTCAACGTCTGCCTCACCTTGCCCGCTGCATACGCGACCGCGGTCGAGTCTCACGCTGAGAAGTTGGAGCCCCAGGCAGCTCGGAAGCGCACGGGGCAGTTTCGCGAGTGGGCCCAGGACGCCATGATCACGGGAGCTGCCCCCCTCTTCGGCATGACGAAGCTGAGGGGCTGGGCACACAATGAGGTGGACAGGTTCGGCATCCGCGCGGCCTTGCCAAAGGCCGTGGCCAACAGCCAGATGGACTTCTGGAATGACATCTGGAAGGGGGACGTGGTCTCGCCGAAGCCAGACGAGGACAAGGTCATGACGGACTTCGGCGACATCACAGCCCTGCAGGATGGTGACATCATCAACGAGCACACCATCACGCAGCTGGATGACATGGAGGGAAACATTTTAGACATGCTCCGCACCATGCCGAAGGACGCCATGGCAGTGCCGACCATCGGCGAGATCAGGGCCGCCTCCAGGACCTTCGCATGGAAGACAGGCCTTGGCGCCGATGCCATGCCGCCCAGAGCGTTCTCGCTCCTGGCCGACGACGCGTTGGCCATGCTGATCTGCATCATCTGGGCGGCGGAGGCCTGGGGGCGATGGCCCTCGGCCATCATGGCGGTGCACGTGATGCTCCTCACGAAGGCCCAGGGGGGTTTCCGTCCAATCGCCTTAATCCCCTCGGTCTACAGGGTCTACACCAAGGTGCGCATCGGCCACATTCGCAAGTGGATGGCACTGCATGACCGCACCTACTTCGCCCTTGGAACAGGGCGCTCGACCATCGACGTGGGCGCGCGCACCATGGTCTACGCGGAGGCGGCGGACGCCACGGATGGGGGACGCGGTGGTCACCACGCTAGTCGACATCAGCAAGTGCTTCGACAGGGTGCAGTGGATCAAGATCGTCTTGGCCGCACGGTATTACGACTTCCCTGCAGCCATCCTCAAGGCTGCACTCGCCATGTCCATGGCCCCCAGAAGGATTCGATGAGGTGTGACATACTCCTATGCTGCGCGCACGATGGCGGGTGCGCTTCCTGGTTGCACGGCGGCGATGTAGCTCCTACAGTTGACCAGGATGATGCCGTTTGACATCTTCGCCGCCTCCCTGCACGGGGGCATCAGCTACACCCTCGACATCTACGCGGACGACATCACGCTACAGCTCATGGCGCCCGCCCCCGAGATGCTCGAGCAGGCGGCCAGCATCATTGAGAGGCTGGTCAAGGTGCCCCAGGCGCTCGAGCTCCCGATCGCCAGGGACAAGGCCAAAATCTTGAACTCCCCGGTGTGGCTAGCTGAGCAAGTGGCACGTCGACCCCGCGACTTCGGCTTCGAGGCGGCGCGGCAGCTCACCGTCTTGGGACTGAAATGTAGCGCGGGAGCTCGTCTCACATACTCGGCGATCCACAAGAGAGCGCGCAAGGTCAAGGAGCTCCTGCCCAGATTTCGGAAGCTCCGAGGGCTGAAGCGGATCGCGAGACGAGTGGCACGGCCCGCCCTGGCGCCTGGCATGGTCTACGGCCTCCATGTCGCGGGCGCCCCCCCCCCCCCGTCGGCGCTGGCCACGATGACGAGCGTGGCCCGCACGGGATGGGCCAAGACCCCCACAGCGTCGTCGACGTGGCTGGCCTCGCTGCTGGAGGACGCCCCGCACCAGATGCCCGAGAGCCTGGCCATGACAGGGCCGATCTACACGTGGGCGCAAATGGTCTATGCGCATCAGGTGCCGCTGCACGTCCTGGAGAAGGCTTGGAACATCCAGGCGAAGACCAGGGGCCACACTACTACATGGGGGGCAGGTGACAGGCCCCGCTGGAGCAGTTCAACTACTTATACGTCGGCTTGGCTGGAGGGCCCACTCGGCGACTTCCTGGACTACGGGTAATGGAATGGAACTCGTCTTGACCGACACGTCGCCGAGATGGGCACGCGTCGTGGCAAGACGCAGTTATCGGAATATGAAGTGGGAGGACTGGTCCAATCGGCGAGAGCATGCACCTGAGCTTCCGCCAGCCCATCGTGATCCGCGAGGCTATTGGATAGAGCCGGTCGCTGCTATGCTACACGCTGGTGCTGAGGCCGCTCGTTGGAATTTGAGTACGCGTGCGAGGGGGGCGCTTCGCTCCACAGTCATTGGAGCCCAGTGGACACAGCAGCGCCTCTACACCATGGGCTGTGTGATGGACCCCCGCTGCCTCTACTGCCAGGGCTGTTGCGGCCATCTGCATCATCGACGTTGGTCATGTCCCAACCTCGCCGACATGAGGACGGAGGCGGTGGACCAGGCCATCCGACGTCGAGCACTTGCCGCCCCGCCCAGCGACCTCTTCTACACGAAGGGCCTCTTGCCACGAGCTGCACTACCTGAGCTGCCGCCGCCAGCGGACACGGAGTCCTGGTATTATTGCATGGGGGGCCAGGGCATGACGGTCACGGGCGAGATCTACACTGACGGGTCCGCCAGGTGTCCGCTACACTGGCCAGAGGCCAATCGCGCTGGCTGGGGCATCGCTGTGATGTCCAGTGAACGCCTGCTGGGCATGGCGCGCGGTCCGCTGCCAGGGCCGCAGAAGACGGCGCAGCGGGGCGAGCTGCACGCCATCATTCAGGTGCGCAAGCATGGCATGCTCCCGATGCACATCAAGACCGACTGCCTGGTCATCGTCGAAGGCCTGGAGCAAGGCAAGAGCGCCACCACGCATCCGAGGAAAGACAACGCGGACCTGTGGCGCCAGCTGTGGCACGCGCTGGAGGACCAGGGTGGCCTGAGCAGCGACCTTCGCATCAGCTGGGTCAAAGGCCACCAGACTTTCCTGGAGGCGGGAAAGTCGCACGACAAGATCGGCAATGACTACGCCGACATGGCAGCGAAGAAGGGCCTAGGCATCCACGCCGTGCCCGATCACATCTACAAGCGCCACGCGGAGCTCCTGGACGAGGTGCCGCAGGTGGCGGCCTGGATAGGCAACAGCCAGGCACAGCTGGAGGCGCGGCCCGCGGACAGGGAGCCGACCCTGGGTCGCCGCGGGCGAAGGGGGCCCAAGGAGGGCGCCGAGGAGGCAGCGCTGCCGACGGCGACGGCGCGGCCAGGCGCCCTGGCGGAGCTGCCGAGGGACGGCGGCTCGAGAGGGTGAGCATGAAAAAGCACACGCCAGTCCCATGCCAGCGCGGCTGGCGATGTGCTCACTGCCCCCGATCTGCTCGCTCCCTGGCGGGTCTGGATCGCCTTCGTCGAGGCCGATGCCAGATCCGACCTGAGTTAGCCCGTGGGGATTGGGGCCCTGGGGTCGGTGCGGCCAGGAAGCGGCCGAGGGATGAGGACCAGGAGCCCCCTCGGGTCTCCAGGTCCCGTGGCCTGGAGCGATCGGCCCCTGGAGGGCCAAGTGTGGCTGCCAGGCCTGAGCCGCTGGCGGCTCAAGGGTTTGGTGAGGACGAAACCCAGGGAGTGGGGAGGTCGTCGAGTCGTCTGGAGGACGTCGAGGGGCAGCAGGAGCAGGAAGTTGTAGGTAGGTGTCACAGGGCTGAGCCTCGGGTCACATCTCCCCCTCCTCCGCCTTGGACTGAGCCCCCCTCCTCGGATCCTCCCCGAAGTCCAGGAACCCCAGAGGCTGGCGATGCGTGTCGCAGGACCGACCCCGTTTGCAGCTCCAGGGAACCTGGTAGGGATTTGTCTGTCAAGGAGGAGGGCGCGGATGATCAACCGCGCTTCGTCCCGAAAAAGCGTGTTCGTTTTTCAAATGCTCCTGGAGGCCTCTGCCCGCAGTCGGCCGTCGTGGGAGCGGTGAAGACCGCGGCTGGGCGTGGCGTGAAGCGCGCTTGCAGGGGCACCCCACCGTCGCTTGCGGATGCGGATCTTCCTCTGGAGCCTCTGCCGAGGGCGGGGGAGGTCCCGCCCCATAGCGCCAGGGGGCATGTGTTGTACATCGCTGGGGATCTCGTGGGCTGCAGCAACTGTGGGGTTTGTTTCGGCCCGCGCGGCACGCACACAGCTTTTCTGGACGTGTGACCCCGAGGCGGTCCTTGAGGGGAACCCTCAGAGGAAGTGGAGGAGGGACAACTTTATGAAGGGCGTCCACCCCAAGGGAGGCCGTTCACCCCCCCTCCCCCTTTCCCCGCAGGCTCTTAGTCACGGACGACGCGGTCCAATTGCTAGGCTTACTCTCCATATAATCTGTCTTCGGGGACCGTTTCTCTGAGCGGTGCCCGTATCCATATGCGTTCGGGTGTACCTGAAACTCGTTCTTGTCCTGGGTTTTCGGCATAGCCGTCTCCTGGGCGTTCTTCGTGGGACCTCTTCTCACTGCCGTGATGCTTCGGCTGGGCTTACAGTGCCCTGGGGCCCACAATCGTTCTGTGCTCGATTGCGCTCGCTCGTCTTTTCCCGATGCTATTGCCCGTCCTGGTTCGAACTCGGCGCGTCGTCCTATGGGCTCGCGACTCCTCCTCCTCCTCCTCCTCCTCCTCCTCCTCCTC